TCTTTGTTTTGTTCAGAAAGTCTAGTCAAAAAGAACTAAAGCTTGAACAGAGATCCCACACTAAAGGCACATGTTCGACGTAACATAGAGAAAAGCCATTATTTCCAATGAGGAGAGTGTCTGTGCTCTCTTGTGCGAGCCAATAAAGCTCTGCACTGATTTTTAACTCAGAGTTCAGCTAAATTAAACTTCTGCTGCACTGCCTCACTTCAGTGGCAAATTTTTAAGCATCACCTTTATCCATCTATGGGGAGGAACGCAAGATGCTTCCTCACATTACCGGTTGGTTTCGTGTCACGTTTATCCGTTCAGTACGGCTCAATCATTTTCTCCATTTTGTGTAAGTGAAGACAACAGTTGCATAATTTACTGACTGATAATTTACTCATGTGAGACAGACATCAACATTCCCCTCTAGAGTGCAAGGCATGGCTTATTGCGCTTGTACGCTGTCGATTTTGAATTTCAACAGACCATTATAAATCGTATACTAATGTTTTCATTCAAACAGTAACATGAATTTTGATCAAAAAAACTACAGCATTATTCTTAATTCCATTGTTTTAAATGTAATGTTCTTCACAAGCTGTTTAGAGGAGGATTTGTGCCAACAAGCTACAGCGCACTGTGCCGTAATATGCAACTTCATTATTTGACTTTATCATGGTGTGCAGTTGAAGCTGATAAAAGTCACTGACTTTCTTCCCTTTTACAGAGAAGAGAGGAGCGGAGTAAAGGCAATGACAGAGGCAATAAAAGTAAAGGTGACAGTTGAGCGGGACAACGGAGAACAGAAGAAAGTGGCGCAGTAAAAGGAAAATATGAGGAGAGAGATAAAACAAGAAATCCAAATTTCAGCGAAGGGTACTCTCTGAGGAACAAAAAACCTCAGTGGAACATAAAGCAAGTATTTCCCCTGAGGGATGCCGGCAGCTTAGAGAGAAAGAACTAAAAGCATAACGATTTTAAATTCTTTAGCACACCTATTTTTGAAGCAATTCAATGAAACCTTGGAGTGTTTGCACTGAAGGTTTAAATTGTTAGGAGAGCAGAAGACATCAGTGACACTCAGATGTGCTCTAAACAAGCGCTCCTTGGTCAACCTTTGGCGAGGTGGAAATAGCCTGATTCTTGCTAACGCCTGAGGTGGTTAAATTGGAGGTGGGAGGACGGAAGAGCGAAGAAGCGATGTGTTGACAGAAGCAGATTGGCTTTGTCTTGTTGGCTAGATAAGGGTAAGTAATAAAACAAAGTGTTATACAGCATTATAAGTTTGCTAACATGAGCTAACATAAGCCTCCATAAGCTACTGGTCATCCCCGCCAAGTCAAATGTAGCGGAAAGAACACTGATCAAGGGTGCGTTATCATGCTTATCAATTCAACTTTTCATTTGAAAGAGGAAGAATATATATATATATATATATATATAATTTTTTATTTTTTAAGTTTTGGTGTGCTCAAAAGCAGATGATATTGTTTTTTGTCAACAGGGTCCAAGCTAGTTAGCATAGCTTGCTAGCAACATTAGCGCTGATTCCCACTTGATGTAACTTTTTGTTTGTTCTATCTGGCAGCTCCTGCACACTCTGATGTTTTCGTCCTGCTTACAAAGCAGGGGATCCCGCTAGCATTAGCTGTATTTCAAAATTCAATCATTTATTTCCTTATCAACCACAGTTGATTAGGAACAAAACATAATCACAAAGCTCACACAACAAAAACACACTGCTAAAATCACAATACAGTAACTGTACAATAGATGCAATACTGCAACCAGATGACTCATGCCAAGTGACAAGTGCATGTGCTTCATATAACCGATGAAGGATTTAGGATGTTGATTGCTAAGGATAAGTACTATTGTGAAAAAGACATGTTGTCTTTATACTGCGTATCTTTTATCCGATGGTTAAAGACTGAATAGAGGGTTTACGGGGTGTGAGTTAATCATTTTTTAACCTCTGTGCAGGATGCTGTCCATCAGTTTTTATCTCCTTGGCTGTAGACATTGCCATATCATACAGTTATTGAGAAGGGGACCACGCTTTCTATTACTGCTCTCTAGAACTATAACATTTCAACCTTTGACACAACGCATTTTTTTAGCTGGTGAGCTTTTCTTCTGTATGATGGTGATGTTGTCTTCCCATTTCAGAGAGGAAGAGATTGTAGTCCAGAGGAATTTGAAATAGTCCACCTTCTCTACCACCTGGTTGTTTATGACCAGCGGTAGCTCTCCCTGGTTTTACGGAAGTCCACTACAAGTTCTTTATTTCAGTTGACCGAGAGAGCTCGTTCCTGTAAGCTGTGTCATCATTTTAGGAAACCAGCCCCACCAGAGTTGCATAATCAGCAAACTTAGGTAACTTCAGTCATTGGTGTATAATGATAGAGAAATGGAGAGATGACAGCTGATGTAAAGGAGTTTGAAAGTCTATTGTTGACTTTGACGACCTGTGTTCTGCACTGTAAGAAGTCCAAGACCCAGAGACCCAGAGACTGCTGGAAACCTAGCTGGAAAAGTTTGTTGTAAAGCCTTGTGGGTATGATTTATTAAAAGCACCATGGGTCCAGTTGTGCAAATGACTTGTCAAAACTCACAGCAATGAGTAATCTCATCACTCTGTATGTTACCATATTGAATCATAACATGGAGTAATACTGCACAGAGTCACAGAGTAGTGTATGGAGTGCTCAAATACTTGCGTTCAATCTCTGACTATGTACACAACCAAACGGATGCAAGATAGCGGCATGCGCACGCATAATAGTAATAGTGTCAAACTGATACAAACTATTTTTAGTATCCGCCCACACAGATACTGGTCCAATTAAATTACCACGGACATTGTCAGTCTGAACCAAAATGAATACAAATACAACTTAAATTTCTTCATTTTGGTAATTACATTTTTTGACAAAATAAGTAAACACACCAAGGATATAAATACAGATTTCTTAGCAAAAAAAATATTTTTTATTTCACCTCCTGTAGCTCTCCAGCACAGTTTGCAGCCGGAGTAAGTCTGGGTTGTCAATCACATTGCGATACCACATGCGGTGTCTAGATTTAATACATTCACAGATTTGTTGAATAATGATGTCCTCGGTTGCATGCCAGGGAGGTATTGTTTGAGCAAATGTTTCGGTTCCTCATCGGGGCCTGGAGGCAGCCCGGGGAGAGTTAGGGGTTTGACATGACTCTGCAAGGAGAGCTCAAGGACAGTACTGGGCAAGCTGTCCCCAAAGTCATTAGTCTGCCTCTACCCCCATACGCACATACACAGAGATCGCGTCCCCATTCATAGAGGTCCCTCTCTTTGTCTCTGGTGGTTTTTTTGTCTTCGTGCTGTCTCTCTTACTGCATGCTAGATAAATGCTGTCCTTTGCAGGCTCTCCGTCTCCTTTCTCCCTCGCCCCTCTCTGACCCTTACATTAAGTCACATTGATGACTGATGGTCCTGCTCCGTCCCCAGGCCCATTCAGCCCTAACATTCATCCTTATGGGACTTTGCTGTCCAGAGAGCAAGAATGGAGGAGGGAGCACAGAGTAGAGTCGGAGTGAGGGCAGAGACTGTGAAGGGTAATGCCTGATTTATAATTCTGTGGAAAAGCTTGCGCAGAGCAGCACCTCCTGAAAAAAATGTGACTACATGACGCTGCAGAGGTTTGACTGGAGATCAGAGCCGGGAGGTTAGTTTTCAAAAACAACACCCTTATTAATTGTAGGCACAGGAGCTTCTCTTCATTGTCCAATTCTTCCATCATTTTTTTTCCAGCAATGGAATTGCGTTGGGTCAAACTTATGTGGAACTATTGAATCACATAAATCAAAGAGAGGTTCCCGCATTGAACACGTATATGTGCACAGCGCCACAGCCGCAGGAGTATGAATCAGGCAGAAGAGTTAGAGAAACATGGCGGTAAATGACTCAAGATGGCAACACAAAAGGTTGTGGGGGGGGGGGGGGGATTGTAGCACAGGGGGGAAAAAACTGATGAAGGATGAAAACAAGACAGAAAGTGATGAGTGGAGGAGTGCAAGAAGCAGAGATAAAGTTTCAGAGGACTCCCTGAGGGTATTGTGTTGTCATCAGGCTGCTGGCACAGCAGAAGATTAGTGTCTTCTTCAAGGTTTTTCTTCTCAGCCTCTATGTCTCTCAGACATAGGCCAAACTTCACCCTGTTCATTGATTTTATTTTCTTTACTGCATCCTCGATGTTTTTTTATACGGTTGGAACTAAAGGAAGATGCTTTTAAAAATCTGTCAAATGTGCAAAGGGAGCAACTTATGTTTGGCTGTTATTTAACTTTTACCGCACTTCTTTTGATGAACGTCCATAGCAGGAAGAATGCTTTGGAAAAGAAAAATTTTGGGATTTTGGGAAATTAGCTTTTTACTGAGAGTTAAATAAGAAGGCAGATACCACTCTCATGTTGATGAACAGTAAGTATGTAGCTGTAGCAAGCAGTCTGTTGAGCTATAATAAAATCTACCCACCATGTATCTCACTTACAAGTTATATCTTCTTTGTTTAATCCACTAAAACCAAAGTGTACAAACAACACGTTGTGATTTATTGGGGGTTTATGTGCTGCACTATTTCTGGCTGGCACCACTAACGTCATTGGCGTTTCTACAGTTTGGGGGGGGGGGGGGGGGGGGGGGGGGGAGGGGGGTAGCTATATTTTTTTTGTGGCCAACCGCGGGTGGTCTTT